CAGCAAGAGGGCAAACGTCGGCGGCAATGTACCCGGGAGGCTGCGGAGGCGACTTCTTCGAGGCAGTTTGTGGCCCAGGACGTACTTCGCAGAGGTCCGTTCTTGGAACAAGAGGTGCATCTGCAAGCCGGAGGAGTGGGTCGCTTTCGGCTTGCCGCGCGAATGCTTTGCCCGACTGGCGCAATACGGCAGGCTGGAAAAACTGGAGGACACCAGCGGCCTGGATGAAGTTGGGAAGAGTTAAGCGCCACGCTGCCTCTCGGCGCCCCGCGCCAGCGGGGCCGCGACCAGTCAGCGGAGATCGCGCGCTTCAATGTGCCAGGGCTGCCCAGGGCGGTGGAGGCGCACGAGCTACGCATGCCCGTCATTGGGCTGGTGAAGGCTTCCATGAGCACGAACGCGTGGCATGACATCTCCAGCGTGACGTCTCGCAGTTTTCTGCTCGTGGCTACAGGTATATACCTACAGCCCGCCGCGACGGCTGAGCTTGGTTGACGTCCGACTTTCGCCGGAGAAAGAAGGCAGGTGCTGATCTAGGCTTCAGGTCTGCGCAGGTGCAGACGCGCGCAGATTGGGGGCGCCGGAAACAAGCGGTCGGGCTCCCGCTGTTCAACGAGAAGGCGGGGCGCCACTGGAGGTGCCGCGCGACGCCGCGGCAGGCCCCTCACTCGTCGTCTCTCTCCCACGCCCCCCGCGCCCCCCTTCCCTCGCCCGCGCAGGTCCCCCAGCCAGAGCGCGTCTGCAGCGCGGCGCCGCGGCGGAGCAATAAGCGCACGAAGACGCGGCTGATCCAACGCTTAATGGAACAAGGTGTTACTAGATCACCAACGACGTCAACCCCATGGGTAGACCAGTCGGTCTGGAGAACCGATTGGTTCCACGCAGTTGATCTGGGCGAGGCCGCATATTGGTTGGGGCAAATGTTCTTCATATTAACGACTTAGAAAAAATGTCTGGCCGCGCGTGCGACGAACAATGCAAGGCGTCACGGGAGCGCCTGACCCTTTGGTACGAGCGGACACCAGAAGCTGATCGAACCCACTTCTCGACCACGAAGACCATCAGACACAACAGACACTGCGCCGTGCAGGGCAAGCTGGACACACGGTGCCCTCTGGGAAAACGCTCGCCGACGAGCTGCGCGACGCGAGTGCCGCTGGGGAGGCAGCGGTGAGACATGCTATGGTTCATTCGTCCCAGCGCTACCTGTGCTTGCGAAGCGGCAGCATGAAAAACATATATATATATATATATATATATATATATGTATGAAACTAGAACCATCGCGCGCGCTTCGCGCGCGCTCAAGTTCTAGCTAGCTTCTTGGGGCCTCCACGGAGCATCCTGGACTGCTTCTTGAAGTCGTCATGGGACCTTCTTGGCATGTCTTCAGGGGCCTCTTAGAAAGAGTTTTGAAGCCTTTTGGGTGCCGTCTTGGGGCCTCTTGGAGCCTGTTTTGGGCTTCTTGGGGGCCTCTTGGGGCCTTCTGGGGGCCTCTTGGGGCCTCTTGGGGGCTTCTTGGGGCCTCTTGGGGGCTTCCTGGGGGCATCTTGGGGCCGCTTGGGGGCATCTTGGGGCGGAGAGCGTGAGTTTTCAGCTCGCGTTCCCTCTCTTGGGCCCCTCTTGGGGCCTTCTTGGGGCCCTCTTGCGCCGTCTTGGGCGGCTCTGGGGCCGTCTCGGGGCTCTCTCGGGCCGTCTCGGGGCCCTCTTGGGGGCCTCTCGGGCCTTCTCCCTCTGGGACCCCTCTCGGGCACGCCTTGGGGCTCTCTCAGGCCATTTTCGGGGGCGGAAAAGAGGGGGGTGATGACTAGGGGGGGGTGGATATCATGGCGGGGGCCATGATATTTCCCCAGATTTCATGGCGCCTCTTCTTATTCCATTACGTCCCTGGCCCCCCCGCTGGGCCGCGCACGCGCCGCCGGTCATAATTTGCACCCCCCCCCTCTTGGACACCCCCCTCTTCGCCGCTCCCGACATTTTGGAGTCCAATTTTGCCGTCCTGGGCGCCTCGTGAACCGTCTTGGAACTCTCTTGGGGGCCACCTAGGCCGTCTTGGGGGCCTCTTCGGACGTGTTGGACGCGGTGAAAACCCAGCAGGCGACCATGCGAAAAGTATACGTTTTCCCACAGGGATGGGATCATTTTTGCTTCTTGGACCTCTCTTGGGGTGCCTCTCGGAACGTCTTGGGCTGATTTTGGAAGCCTTTTGGCGCCTCTGGGCAGCGTTTTGGCGCCTCCTGGGATGCGTTGGGCCGGAAGCTCGGAATTCGAGAGTGGCTTTCTCCTTCTGGGACCCCTCTCGAAGTCGTCTTGGGGTTCTCTTGGGCCGTCTTGGGGCCGTCCTGAGCCACTCGTGCGCAGCCTTGGAGCGCTCCCGGAGGCCTCCTAGGCCGTCTTGGAGGCCTCTTGGGCCGTCTTGGACGCGGTGAAAGCCCAAGATGCGAACATGCGAAAAATATACGTTTTCCCATAGGAATGGCACGATTTTTGTTTCTTGGACCTCTCTTGGGGTGCCTCTCGGAACGTCTTGGGGTGCTTTTGGGAGCCTTTTGGCGCCTCTTGGCGGCATTTTGGCGCCTCCTGGAGCCTCTTGGGCCGGAAGTTCGGAATTCGAGGTTGGCTTTCTCCGTCTGGGACCCCTCTCGAACTCGTCTTGGGGCTCTCTTGGGCCGTCTTGGGGCCGTCCTGGGCCACTCGTGCGCAGCCTTGGAGCGCTCCCGGAGGCCTCCTAGGCCGTCTTGGAGGCCTCTTGGGCCGTCTTGGACGCGGTGAAAGCCCAAGAGGCGAACATGCGAAAAATATACGTTTTCCCATAGGAATGGCACGATTTTTGCTTCTTGGGCCTCTCTTGGGCTGCCTCTCGGAGCGTCTTGGAGGCTTCTGGGACCTTCTTGGTGTCATGACAGGCGTCTTGGAAGGCATCTGGAGCCATCGGAGCGCGTTCCGAAGCCGCCTGCGAACGATCTTGGACGGCGTCCGGCGGTCCGACGAGCCTCCGGGCCCCCCGGGGCCCACATTTGTGGTCGGGGTCCCGGCCCGGGGCCCCCGGACCCGGTGCGCCGTTATATGTATATTCTGCATGGCCAGTCGATCAAGTTCAGCCTGCAACGCGCCGCCCTGCGCGGCATGCGCCCCAGAGTGTATCACATGAAGCTGAAGGTTCACGAATTGCTCGAGATGGGCTCAGAAGCCCTGCAGGGGCATCAGCCCGAGACATGCTGGACTTACAGAGACGAGGACTTCGGGGGCACGGGCGCTCACTTCGCCAAGCGTCGCGGCAGCGTGCTCGCGCCCAAAGGATCCAGCGTCGCATTGATGTCCATATTTTTTCTCGCGCGGATCTTGTGATGGGATCGCTCCGGCTTTCTCAAAAACAGAGGTCGTTGTCCCTTCTCCCTCCTGCGCAGGAGGGGCATATCGATCTGCCTCGGGGCTGCCCCCCTCGCCGCCCTCTCCCCTATTCTCCTTTTTTCTTCATCTATTCGCTATTCGTCCTTTGTCTTCATCTATTTGCCGCAGCCGGTTTTGGTTTACAATTGTTATTGCAAGCTGTGACGAATTTGCAATTAATAACAGATGGCAGCCTAGGGCGTTCGATGCTCCACGTGCGGCGCCGTCGGCGCTGCTGACAACATGCGCTCGTGGCGTTTCGTGCAGCTGCAGGGCGGTTCCTGGTGGCACCGCCGCTGCCAGCAATACGTCCAGAACTGCTGCTTGCTACTCGCTGCGGAGCTGCGGGGCGTAGGCGCGCCCACGGCCGAGAAGCTGGTCGAGGATCGCCCGGCGATCGCGGCGGAGGCGCGCGCGGCCCAGGACGGCGGGAGGGACCAGGCAGGCGAACCAGCGGCGACGGCCTCACCGAGTGAAGGCACGCGCCGTCCGCGCGCCCAGAACTGGGAGCGTGCTCCCCTTTGCGCTAGCTCTTCGCGCCCGCTGAGACAAACAAATCGCGGCGAAGTGGGCGACGTCTCCTGTCGAGGAGACGCCGCAAGGGGGAAGAGGAATAGAGGGAGGAAGGGTGGAGCGGAGTAACACGAAATTGACCTGACATTAACATGAAATCAACACAGAAATCGCAGGGGACACCTGTTTTCAAGTAGCGCATATTGCTAACCAGAGCGTGTAACTTTGTATGCCTCAATTAACGATGATAACCAATTGGAGCAGATTTGACCCTCAAGGCTCGGGTCATGCAAAAATCACGACGGGGAGTTTCTCGCCATTTTCGGCCTCTGGGGGCCCTTGCCGGCCCTTGGGTCCGTCAATAACAGACTCGGGACGAAAAACTGGTCCAAGGGAATGGGTCTGGACCGCTGGGGGCCCACGTCATAGAAAAAGTCATGACGTCGGGGTCTGGGAAGCCAGGGCGAGGATAAAATTCGGTAATTAAGGATAAATCGAGAATCTCTGAGATCCGGCGGCTCTGGAGGATGTCTCGGGCGCCGCGGCCTGCTCGGAGCGTTCCAGAACGCTCTGAGAGCGTTCAGGAAAGGTCTGGGAGGTCCTTCAAGGAGCACAGGGACACCCGAATAGAAACACGCAGCTCCCAGGACTCCCCCCAGTTCTCCCCTATGTTCAGGGGTTTCGTCTTCCCTTCATCACCCCAAGCATCCAGCTGGTTTTAATCCTTTTGGTGCGTGGACCTCGGAAGTCCGGACCACTTCTCCACGGCCGGCGTTTCCTCCTGGGTTGTTTTTGGACGCTCCGGAAGCCCGCCGCGGGCCCGGAGGCCGAAAACAGCCAAAAACCGCCTGCTCCATTTTTTTCGGAGCGTCGGATCTCAGGGACCCCCCATCTTTTCCCACATTGATTCGTGTCAGTGCGTTTTGCTTCCCCTTTTTTAGGTCGGGCGTGTCCCCCTAGAGGCGAATGCTGGACGCGAAATGAAAGAAAGTTAAGCATATAAGACTTGTAGAAACATCCTCCCCAGACTATTGTTTTGACCATGTTGGAATATACCTCCCGTAGAGGGACAGGCTCGACTTAACCCGTCTTGGCTCCTGTCCGCGCACACGAAGCGAGGGGGCGCGCCGGCCGCCGCGCCCCAGAGCACCGCGCTCCGCCTGTGGGTCAAACTTGGCGAGCCCGAGAAGAGGGGCACGACGAGAGCAACGGGCACGGCGCCGCGTGCCGGAGGCATCGTCCGCGAGCTGTTTGTTGTTCCTATGGGTCGTATGAGACGGAACTACTGGGCGCGTCTCGCACCACAGGGTAAAACGCACCAGCGCGGCAGAAGAGTTCAGCTTCGCAGGTCCACGAGAGGGCTCACGCATCCATGGGTACTACTTTTTTTTTTTTTTTTCCCTCACGTCGACCACGGCGGCTGGATGCCTCGACAACTTCGCATGGCCGCTGCCCCCGGCCATGGAGGGAAGCCGGGCTGCGTGGGCAGCCGACCACCAAAGAATACGGAGACGCTATCAGGCACGTGGCAGGGACAGCGAAAGAGCACCCGAGACAATTATTGCCCGGGGGCCAGGGCGAAAATGTTACTTAAGACCGGGTTTTCTGGGTACTACTGTAACTCGTGCACGCGAGCGGCATTCTGAGGAGTCCTCGTCGACTCCGGGAGGTCGCCTCGCCTCGAGGTGCTACCTCCCGCGGCTGCGCCCCGTCGCCGAGAGCGTCCCCCCGGGGGCGCCCGACCTCGCCCCGCACGGGGGCCGCTCGAGGCCCCGGGCTGCGGCCTGGCAGCCCCGTTCTCCGACGAGGTTGACCAGCCTCGAACGCATCCCTATCCACAAGATTAACAAGCCAAACGTCGACGACAATCTTAGCGATGCGCCCTCGGAAGCGGAGGGAACCCCTAAGATCGGCATCGAGATGAGGCGATATCAATCACCCAGAACCCCGACGTCATGAATTTTTCATGACGTCGACCCCCATGCAGCGGTCTGGACCCATCCCCCGGGACCGGTTCTTCGTCCTGAGTTGTTTTTTTACGGTCCCGAGGGCCGGTATAAGGGCCCCCAGAGGCAACAAATAAGGAAAAACCTCCCGTCGTGATTTTTGTAAAACTCGAGGGGGTCTGGGCATAGGGATAGGGATATGTTCCATGACTACCTACCAGACCACCCCAACCCAACCCGAAGACCCGAATTCCGGGTTGGGGGGGGTGAGGGTTCCACATCTGTTTTTTCGATGTTTCCCTACCCCCCCCCACTGGAAATCGAGGGTAAATCAGAGCCTTCGGGTTGGGTTGGGGTGGTTTGGTGGGTGGTGATTCCAGGCCCGTGAGAGGTGGCCTTCGCCATCCCGGCGGCCTGCTTCCCGCCCGACCTTTCGGCCCTGCGAGGGCCGCTCTCGGGCCCCGGGACACTCGAGAACGGGTCCGGGACGGCAAAACGCCCCCTGGGGAGAAGCCGTCGGGATCTCCCCCCATGACCTCAAACCCTGACCTTCCAGAGAGCTATTTTTTAGCACTGGAGACCTAAAAACTTAAAAAGCTGAGCGAAACAGCCTAAAACCAAGACGTAGAAAGCTTTGGGATAAGTATTTAAGTCGGGTGCTATTTTTTAGCCCTCCTGGAAGGTCAGGGAACCCAGACCCCCTCGAGTTATGACAAAAATCACGACGGGAGGCTCTTCACGATGTTTGGCCTCTGGGGGCCCTTATACCGGCCCTCGGGACCGTCAAAAAACGACTCAGGATGAAAAACCGGTCCCGGGGAACGGGTCCAGACCTCTGGGAGTCGACGTCATGAAAAAATCATGACGGCGGGGGTCTGGGAATGCATGGACAAAAACACACAACGGAGGTTTCTCTCGATGTTCGGCCCCCGGGGATCCCCGCTGGGCCTCGGGACCGTCAAGAAACGCCTCAGGACGAGAAAGCGGTCCTGGGGAGAGGGTCGGGACGTCCAGGGACGCTGCCCTGAACAGATCAGGACGTCGCAGGTCTGGGTCTGGGGCCGCGAATCGAAGAGTCAGACCGGCGGGTGTCAGGGAAAGCTAATTATCCGGAGCCGACAGCGGCCGCTGCTTGGTGCGGGCAATATTTATATCCATATCCAGTGCGTCTTGGACTTTCTTGGAAGGGGCGCCGCAAGGCCGAGGCGCACTGGATATGGATAAGAATTGAGCCTTTTGGAGGCAGATTATAATACATATCAAGTGCGCCTCATGTTTCTTGGGAAGAGTGTCCGAAACTCGAAGACGCACCTGATGTGCAGAAAGACATTGCCCGCATTTGGCAGGCGGCTTTTTCCCTCAAGTTGCCAGCGTCCCGTGCAGAATGGGCAGGAGCTGCTGCGCGTCTTGGGCGTGGGTGAGCCCCGACCGGAGGCCAAGACACCCGACGATGTGGCTTGTCACTGCGCGGCGCCGAGGAGGTCCCGACGACCCCTTCCCCGGGGGCAGCTCCTCGTCACGGAGCCACTCTTGATGGCCCCGGGGCCCGCTCGCGGGCCCCGGGACCCAGACCTCCGACGCCAGGAATCTTTCACGACGTGGACCCCGAGCTGTCTGGACCACCGGCTTCTCGTCCTGAGTCGTTTTGTTGACGGTCCCGAGGGCCAGCATGAGGGCCCGCAGAAGCCGAAAATGGCGAAAAGCTCCCCGTCATGATCCTTTCATGGCCCGAAAGGGGTCTGGGGAGGCCGACATCGGGAACACACGCTGGGATCGAACAGAGCGTATCGCTAGAGAGGTCTGGGCACGCACGGCGACCGTGCCGAGAGCCTGGGCAGCCCAGCGGCGGGGAGGCGCAGCGCCGGGTGGTGGGCGCACAGGAGCTGCAGCCTGCAGGTGCCGTTCAGCAGCTGCCACAGGGCCAGGAACGCCGGCCCGCCGCCGAGGTGCCCGAAGAGGGCGCTCAGCTGCGGCTCGGGCGCGCTCAGGGCCACCGGCCACCGCGCGCTGCTCGCGGACACGTCCGCAGCGGCCCGCCGCACGCACAGCCGCACGTGGCCGTCCAGGAGTGCCCTCAGCGACGTCATGAGCGCCTCGTACCACACCTGGCGGCGAGAGCTCGGGGCCAGCGAGGGCGGAGGGGGCAGTGGGCCGAAGGGGCCGCCCCCGCAACAGCCGCACCCCCACAGAGGCGAAGCGCATGAGCAGACGCGCCTGAGGGGCAGGGCAGCGAACGTGAGGGGCAACACGGGGGGGGGGCCGGCCCCCCATTGCGAGTCCGCACGCTCCTGGGAGGGGTGGGCTATCAGGCCCCTATCGGCGATCCATGGGAGATCGGGGGTCGACGCATCCCGCGCTGAGCCTATCTCCCCCTCAAACTGACCCTGGAAATGGTGAACACTCAGGACTGCCCACCGAGCGCCAGTCATGGGGGTCGGGGTGGAGGGGGGGGAGGGTGCGCCTGAAAGGTGCGGAGGGATAGCGGGCGGCCTAGGTAGGGGAACGAAGAATGACATAAACATAAAATCTCGGAGGTCCGCGCTGATTTCTCGGATCGGCACTGGACCCCCCTCCCTGGCGTGCGGAGCGCGCCAGCGGCGGTGCCGGAGGCGCCGCCAAGGGGGTCCAGCGCGGATGCGAGAAATCCGCGCGGGCCTTCGAGTTTTCATGTCGTTGTCATTCTTCGCTCCCCCACTAGAGGGGGACGTGCCCTCCGATCTCTTCGTGTCCCAGCGGACGTGCATCCGGAGAGAAAGATCCAGCTCAGAGGCGTTGCCTCTGAGGCGGCCTGTGCGGCGTGCTGCCCCCGCCTGCCGCGATGCGCCCAACGGCCGCGGTCCGATGCAGGGCCCCTCGGTGCCCGCTCGACGCGGTGGGCCTCGCAGCAGGCCGAGTGGCAGCCAAAGCCTGTGCCTGCACGGAGCCGCCGCCGCCGCCGGGCACGCATGGAGCGGGCCTGGCGCGCGCACGAGAGGCGAAGCGAAGGCCAGGGAAGTGCCAACAGCGCGGGGCTCTACCCCGTCGCAGGCACGGAGGCCTCGTCGATAGGTCCGTCGCGGAGCTCTGCAGCTCTGTGGCTGCCCCTGCGGAGCGCTGCTGCTCTTCGCGGAGGACGAGCGGCACGTCTCGGGGTCCATGGAGCTCCGAGAGGCGTCGACGTCCGCCGCAGAGTCCCTTGACTTCTCCCCCTTTCCCTGCGGCCCCCATTTCCCTGGGCCCGTCGCCGCTCCCCCCCTGTTCCTGGGCCCTCCTCCTCAAGCGCGCCAGCCAAAGCGAAACGAAGCAACGTCGCAAGTTAGTCGAAGGGAAGCCCCTTAACTTTGATCTCTCCCCTGTCGGGGGAGGTGTTCTGGGGGGGTCCCGGAGCGGTCCCAGGGGTCGGATCCCTCCCCCGTGGGGGGTCCTGGGTCCCAAAAAACGGGCCAAAAGTGCCCGAAGAGGCCCCCCGACGGTCCAAGAGGGCCCCGAATCGCCGAACGATCTGTCCAAGACGCCTTAACGGCCTCCCGACCGCCCATGAGGTCGGCAAGACGCCCCAAGAGGCCTCCAGGAGAACTCCGAAGAAGACGCCAAGAGGCACATGTCATACATTTCCCTTGGGTGTTTGAAGGATAATGGCGTTCTCGCCTCTTCCGCTTCCCCACGCTCCAAGACGGCCCCAGAAGGTCCCAAGATAGCCCCAAGACGGCCCAAAAACCTCGAAGAGGTTCCCAAAATGGCCCTAGAGGGCCCCAAGACGGCTCCATGAGTGTGCCCAGACGGGGGACCCGAAAGGACATCTCGAGCCCTCGCCCCTAGAAGCTCTCAGGAGGCCACAAGAGGCCTCCAAGACGCCCCCAAGCTCTCAGGAAACCCCTGGAGGCCCCCAAGAAGCCCCACAAGTGTCTCCCAAAACGCCCTCCTGCCTCTCCTCCTCCCCCTCCTCCTCCTGCTCCTCCGACTGCCATTATCCTCGTCCTCCTACTGCTCATTCCCCCCCCGTCCTCCCCCTGCCCCTGCATCCCCTCCTCATCCTCCTCCGCAATCTCCTCCTCATTTTCCTCCTCCTGCTGCTCCACCGCGTCCTCCGCCTCCGCCTCCTCCTCCTGCTCATCCCCCCCCTCTCCTGCTCGTCGTCCTCATCGTCGTCGTCTTCGGGGTCGGCGGCACCGGCCGCAAGGCCTTCAGGAACGGATAGAATCGAAACGTGCGTCCGATCGGGCTGCATCGGCACTGAGTCGGCACCGAGTCGGATCGGCCGCGACAGGGTGCACGCAAACGCCATACGAGCATCGGACGTCGCCGGAATTTCGCAATCGAACCGGATCGGGCTGGCCGAGATCGCTGTCGAATCGGACACCCAGGTGCCGCCTCCCACCCCTCGCTGTCCCCCCACCCCCACAACACGGCGACGGGCAGGCTCGCAGGCGCAAACAGATCACGCGTCGAGCTCAGAACAAAAAAAAAAACAGACAACGCCTGCGCAAAAGCCCAGCAACCTTGGGGAGGGCGGTGCTGCCGCGCGCACGGGGACGGGCGCTTCGGCACCGCACCTGTGGCCCACGTGCTACCGTTGCAACTGCCGGATCTGATGGGGGCTCAGCAGGGTCAGGCGACCTTGGAAATGTCCTCGGCGCACTCCCAGAAGGACGTGTCCGTGAAGGGCTCCGCGGGCGTGTCCATCTTCTTCAGGATGAACCCCGTGGCTGCGCCAGTGACACAGGCGACCGCCAGAGTGGCGAGAAGGCCGATCGCCTGATTCAGCATGCTCACCCCCGTGCCCGCATAGAAGAGCGGCACTGCGATGGACACAAGCCCCCCAAACAGGCCGGGCATGCCGTGGAGGTTGTTGATGCCGCAAGTGTCCACGTCGGCCAGGAAGGGGGCCTTGACGAAGCCCCACGTTGAGAGCAACCCGGCGAGGCCGCCGACGACCACGGCTCCGAACGGGCCTACGAGGTTCGCCGTCGCCCCTATGGATACGCCACCGGCCAGGGTGGCGTTCTGGATGGGCACGGTCCCGATGAGCCCGTTCATCAGCAGCGGCGTCAGGCCGAAGCTCGCCATCGTCGAGGCCAGCAGCGCGAGGACGGTGTTGATGAGCGCCTGGGTCTGCTGGAAGGGGTCGTCGAGGGCCCCGGCAACGAAGCTGGGCCAGAAGAGCCAGAGGAAGACGGTGCCGACGAGCGAAAAGAGATCCGAGCTGTAGCAGCTCGCGTTGAGCTCTGCACGGCTCGGCGGCCCCAGCACCTTGCACGCGCAGAGGCCAAAATACGCCCCGAACACGTGGATGATAATGGTGCCACCACAGTCTGCGATCAGGGGCTCTTTGTTGTACTGGCCGAGGACAAAGACCTTGTTCGAGCAGTAGCAGACGAGCTCCACGCAGGTGAAGACGGTGATCTGCAAAGGGCTGATCTTGCCGATCAGGCCTCCGAAGCTGATGAGTACAGCCGCGATCGCGAAGTTGCCGTTCAGGAGAGACAAGAAGTCGATGGTCAGCGCCCCCTTGCCCATGAAGCTCTCGACGATGATGGCGAACTCCACCCCGAGACATGTGGTGTACATCGTGAGGCCTACGGCCCCCAGCCCGTACGATTTGAGGAAGGACATGAGGTAGCCGAAGCCCACGAACATCATCAGCGCGACTCCGACGTAGTAGTTGTAGATGGACGAGGAATTAGTTCTGTCTGCCTTGGTGAGATCGAGCCTGGCCGTGTAGAACACGCACGTCATGGCGACCTGGAGGCCGAGGGCGGCCATGGCGAACATCGAGGGCTTGGTCGCGGGCGCTGCGGCCTCCACCAAGGGCTTTTCGGCCTCTGCTGCCGCTTCCGCCATGCCTGGCCTGGGTCTCGCCAGGACACCACCGAGCGGGGTCGCACAAGTCGCGGGTGACGCCTCGAGCCCAAGCCCCGGCTCAGCACAAAGCCCTGAGCCGAAATCGCGATCGGAGGGTTTGCAGCTCGGGGGGCCGATGTTCGGGCTCGGGCGGCAGGGCGGCTGCGACAAGTTCGCGTCGTGGCGACTTGCGCGATGGCCTCTGCCACCGCGCGGGGCGTCCAACCTTGAGCGACTGCTGCTCTCCAGTAGCGTAGATCGCCCGATGGCGGCCGACTCCAGGCCACTGGCGGCGTTCAACCTTGGACGCCATCGCTGGGGCCGCTGCGCCGACGCAGAGCAAACATGCCGTAATCCTCTTCCGCCTCCCTTCCTCCTCCTTCGGAGATCTTCTGACCCGGGTCGATCCAGACCCGGGCCAGTCAGGCTTTGCAGGATCCTGCAAGATCATGCGGGATCCTGCAGGATCCTGCGCCCAAGCCCGGGTCAATGCACGCACCACTGGCCCTGCAAGATCCTGCAAGATCTGGCGCTCCGACTGACCCGTTTGCCTTGACCCCCGTCTTGAGCCCCGAAGCGGTGTCAGGAATCCTGTTCCCATGATAATCCCACCCTGGGGATAATAAAGATCCAGGTCCCGGGAAGATGATCTGCATTTTTGCAGGCAGTTCGCATGTACGGATGTACGAATGTACGGTGTACGGATATACGGTGCTCGGATGTACGGATGTACAGTGCACGGATGTACGGTGTACGGACTGTACGGATGCACGGAGTGTCGAAATGTCGGAGTGCTCATCATAATGATACATGCCCAGAACACTGATACTGATGATAATTCTGCTGTTCATGACAAGGATATTACAACGACGATTGGTACTTGGCCCGGTGGATCATCAAGCGCGCCCCCCCTGGCCCGCCCCCCGCCGACAAGAAGTGTCCTGGCCGGAGATAGTCAACACCAAGGAGGGGTTAATCCAGGGGGGGACCCTGCTGTGTCTATGGGACACGGGGATATAACTTCCCCCTCCGAGGTGGAGCGAGGAGGCTAAGACGGACAAGGGAGGCGGACAGACGAGGACAGAGGAGAGCGTCGCAGCAGCCGTCGTCGTCACCGCCACCGCGTGGCGGTGGTCGCTCGGGGCCGAGCTTCTGGCCGTTCCGGGGACCTCCCGCCTCGGGGGCGAGCCCGGCGGCAGATCGAGCGCCGGCACCTCTCCGAGGATCGACCCCTCCGGGGAGCGTCGCTCGTGGGTGCACCGGCTCTCCAGCTCTCCAGGAAGCGGGAGGCCCGGGGGAGAGCGGCTCCTACAGGCCCGCACCCACCCATGACTGCAACCGCCGTCTCGTCGCGACGGTGTCGGCGCTGGCTGGCGACACAGTGGCGAATGCCATTGACTCCGGGCCACTGGTGGCGTTCAACCTTGAACGCCCGCGCTGGGGTCGCCGCCGCGTCGACGCAGCGCGTCGACTCATCCTTTCCTCCTCCAGCTCCTCCTCCTCCAGCTCCTCCTCCTCCTCCTCCTCCTCCTCCTCCTCCTCCTCCTCCTCCTCCTCCTCCTCCCCACCCCCCTGGTGGCTGTTCCTTTCCTTAGAGAAGTCGCAGGGGCGGGACTGGGTCGGGAAGGAAGCTTTGACTTGGAATGGCGATGCATCGATGATAGATCGGCGGAAGGCCAGCGATAGCGAAACCCAACATTCCTGGGCGGAGTGAGGGGCCGAAGCCCCGGCTGGCGAGGAGTGGGCGAGCGAGTCTCGATGCTTCCCCCTGGTCCAATCCCCACCCCGGGCCCCCGACGTCGTGATGTGTGACCCGGCGCAGACTCCCAGAGATCTAGACTCTTTCCCCAGGACCTGCTCTTCGTCCTGAGCTGCGTATTGACAGCCCCCGAGCCTGATAAGGGCATCCTTGGCCGAAGATTGCGAAAAACCTTCCGCGGTATTTCATATTCACGACGCGAGGAAGTGAGGGATCAATGCTTCCCCCCCTGAGCAGGTCCCCCATTAGATGCACCTCATGGGAGGTCCTCCTCAGAACGATTAGCCTGGTCATCCCAGACTGGCCAACTTACAAAAAGCCAGTAAACCAAATGCGGCCACCGAAGGCCCAGGATCAGTATGATATCCGCCTGGATGCGACTGTGCCAGATTGGGCCACGTCTCGACCACGGATATGCCAGCGCCGATGCAGAACATAACCCCCCAGAAGTTCCACCCTGTCGTTGCCCCTGTCGCCCGGGTTCTGCGCGGTTTTTGTGTAGAAGCTCGGGCCGTCGGCGGTCGTTCTGGACGACTCTCTGGCACCCCCCACGAGCGCCCTTGACGAGGGGCAGCTGCTGGAAACCACCCCCGCTTCCCCAGAGGAACAACACAACGGCACGTCCATGAACTTTCGGCGTGGGATTTTGGGAGTTTTCGGAAGCTTGCGAAGATCGAAGAGGAAAAAAAAAGGCACAACACAAACTTTCGACGGTCCGCGCGGATTTCTTGGAACTGCGCCGGACCCGCCCTCCCTAGCGCGCGGAGCGCGCCAGGGGCGGCGCCAGGGGGTCCAGCGCGGGTCCAAGAAACCCGCGTGGAGCGTCGAAAGTTTATGTGTATGCCGCTTGTTTCTTCGTCGACTCCCCGCAAGCCTCCGACAACTCCCGAAAACCTCGGGGGACATCGGAGACCCCATCCGGCGTCGCTGCTCCTGAAGACTTCCCTGAGCTGCCAAATGTTCCACCACCACTGACATGTGTAGGACGGGGGAGAAGGGAGGATGAGGAGGTCCTCCTCCTCCTCCTCCTCCTCCTCCTCCTCCTCCTCCTCCTCCTCCTCCTCGCACGTACCCAGAGGCGACCTCCTCCTCCTCCTCCTCCTTCCCCTCCTCCTCTTCCTTCTCCTACATTCGGTAGTGGTGGTGGAACATGGGCCCATCATCCCCCCCCAAGCAGGAGCCGCGCGCCACCAGGATCCAGTGGCTCGACGCGCCCGCCGGCCTCTTGCGGATGGGCCGGCGGCGCGCCCAGGTGGGAAGCGAGAGTCGAAGAGGCGATCGACGACAGACTTGACTTGCCGCCAGAGCTGGTTGTCCCGCCGAGCATGCGTAAAACGCGCAGAATGTCCGCAGATCTACGGGACAGAAAAGACCGCACTTTTCGCAGACTCGGCGGGGGCATCGCTTCTGGGGTGAATCTAGTCTGTATGCTCGATCCCATACTTGAGAGAGGGGGCGGGCCTTCCCAGAAGGCTCGGAAGGCATCTGGCCTTCTTGAAAAGTTCGCTACGCCTGCTCCGAAGACGCCGCGAACTTCGAGGGCTTCTGCAGAAGACAAACAAATCGGCATGAGCATGGGTTCTCGGAGGTCCGCGCGGATTCCTTGGACTGGCGCTGGACCCCCCCCCCCTGGCGCGCGGAGCGCGCCGGCGGCGGCGCCGTAAGCGCCACCAAGGGGTGCCCAGAACTCGAATCCACAGAAATCCGCGCGGACCTCCGAGAAATTATGGTATGCAAAGTCTTGCTCTTGGATCGGAAAAAGCCCCGTGTACCGACCCCGTCTTTCTGAGGAAGCCTGCCGTTTTTTTTTTTTTTTGTTTTTTTTTTGTGTTGGGGGGGGGGTGGTTGTTTTTTTTTTTTTTTTGTGTGTTGTGTTTGCTTCCTCGATGATCCTCAGGACGTGTGTCAGCGCCAACGTGTGTTTCTCCACCGAGGCCCCTCAATACGACGGAGGCGGCGCAACGAGCGGGGTAAACACACGCTTGGGCTAACACACGTTCTAAGGATCATCGGCCTCGAGCGTGTTTCTGTATTTTCGGCGATAATGGGCATTATAGGGGGGGGGGAGTGGGCCGGGGAGGGGGGTATAATGTAATGCTTCCCCCCCCGCCGTGTGCCCGATGCGCACGGCGGCAGTGGTGCCCAGAGCGCACTAGGGAGGCGGAGGGGCGTTACGTTAGAAAGGGGGGGGGAGGGGGGGGCAATAATGCCTATTTCCCAGACCCCCGACGTCATGGTTCTTATATTACGCGACCCCCAAAGATCTGGACCTATTCGCCAGGACTGGTTTTTCATCCTGAGTCGTTTTTTGACGGTCCCGAGGGCCTGTAAGGGCCTCCAGATGCCGAAAATATAGAAAAACCTTCTGTTGAGATTTTCGTCATGACTCGAGGTGGTCTGGTTATGCCCCAAGCAATACAGAAACACGCTCCTGCTCACTTCCACCCCCAGGGCACGCCGCCGCATGGAGGCCAGCAACGCGAGCAGCCGCTCCACCGCGAGCGCGGCCAGCGTGCCGTGCAGTAGCGCCCGCAGGCTAGACGCCTCGGGCGCGCCGCGCGCCGCCGCCGCGGCGAGGTCCTGCAGCGCCTCCTGCTGGGAGGACGTCGACTACCAGAAGATTCCGGCGAAATTTCAGCTCCCAGACATGATCGCGTCGTAAAAAAAATCATGATGGCAAGTGTTTCACTATTTTCGGCCCTTGGGGGCCCTCGCCGGGCCTCGGGACCGTCAAAAAACGACTCAGGACGAAAAACCGGTCCAGGGAAAGGGTCGGGACTTCCAGGGACGCCGTCATGAAAAAATCAGGACGTCACATGTCTGGGTTCTCGTTGGCTCCTGGAAGCTCTCTCGCCTCGGCATGCTTTCCAGCAGCTGCGCCTCGCCGAGAACGTCCCAGGAGTGCCAGGATCGTCCCGAAGACCGCCGGAGGCCATGGCTGTGGCCCGAAAGTCCAAATCTCCGACGACATATGATGTTCGCAACCGGCGAATTGACATCGATTTCGACATCATGAGGTCCGTTTTCGGGGCCAGGGGCCATCGAAAACTTATCTTGGATGAAAAACTGCCCTTGGGGAAGCGGTTGAGATCTCTGTCTGGGGCCGCAGACCGAAGAAATCACATCGGCGGATGTCGAGGCACCCAAGCTCGTCACAAGACGTCGAGGCGGCCGGCTTGTCGCCGTGTTCGGCCTCCAGACGCCAGTCTCGGGCTTCGGGGCCGTCAGAAACCTACACTCGGGATGGAAAGCCGGAGTCGAGAGTTCCAGGGAACCACGCATCGGGAACATCGTAGCGCCGGACCCAGACCCCCGACGTCATGATTTTTTCATGACGTCGACCCCCAGAGGTCTGGACCCATTCCCCGGGACCGGTTTCTCATCCTGAGTCATTTTTTGACGGTCCCGAGGGCCGGTAAGGGCCCCCAGAGGCCAAAAATCATGAAGAACCTCCCGTCGCGATTTTTTCAGAACTCGAGGGGGTCTGGAGATGTTTGGTGGCAGGGACACCCGCGCCGAGCTTGGCAGGGCCCGTCCTGGGCCCAGGCTCTCGGTGCACATGCGCCCTCCCGGCGCGGCCAGGAAGGCGTGCGCGCCGATGCCAAGACTACAAAAAAGCCCACGGAAAAAAAAAGAAAAAAAAAAAAAGAAAAAAAAAGAAAAAAAAAAAAAAAAAAAAAAAAAAAAAACAAAAAAAAAAAAAAAAAAAAAAAAAAAAAATAGAAAAAAAAAAAAAAAAAAAAAAAAGAAAAAAAAAAAAAAGAAAAAAAGAAAAGGAAGAAAAAGAAAAAGAAAAAAAAAAATAAATAAGAAAAGAAAAAGACGAAAAAGAAAAACAAAAAAACAAGAAGAAAAAGCAAAAAAAAAAAAAAAAGCAAGAAAAAGGAAACACTTGACCCAAAAAAAAAAATAAAGAAAAAAAAAAAGTAAACAAAAAAACAACGAAAAAAAAAACAGAAAAAAAATAAAAAAAAAAAATGAAAAAACAAAATAAAACCAAAAAACCAAAATCAACAAACAAACCACCACGCAACCCAAAATCAAGAAAACGGGGGAACGGCCACGGGGGGGCCCTGGTACCGCCGAGTGCTTGTGTTAGGTACGGGCATGTCCCCCTACAGGAGGATTTTGGACGAACAATGACGGATTTTGCCCCCAGACAATATACCCCAAACAATAGCAGACAAACAAAAATAGAATAGATTGTCCCTGGACGATGTGTGTTACTACTTTTGGTTATTCCTCTGTAGAGGACATGGCCCTACTTAAAGCTGCGCCCTCTCCCCCCCCCCCCCGACCTGCGGCGTGCCCCGACGCCGCCTGCTGCCCTCCTCCGCTCCGCGTCCGAGGCGCTCGGCGAGAGAGGGGCGGGGAGGGAGAAGGCGGCGGTCCGACGCGTGCCTGAAGGGGCCCTGGTAACAGCAAATACATAGACACAAATCACGGGACTACCCCATATAGTTTCCCATATCTTCTGGGTTTTCGTCTTCGCCCCCCCCCCTCCCCCCCCACGTCCCATAGTTTCCCACATTCTCTTGGGAATCGACGATGAATTGTGTCTGTGTGTTCTTGTTTTCCCTCGTGAGTGCCTCTTGGAGGAACAGACTTCGGGGAAGTCGTCAGCTGACCACCTCGCCCGTCCTGGCCCAGGGGCCGGTGCAGACGTGCCTCCCTGGACGGGAGCACGATGGGCGCATGCACCGAGCCTCTGGCCCAAGATCGGCCTCGCCAAGACCGCTGGGGTGGTCAGCCGACGCCCTCCGGAAGACGTGACAAACGTCGCCGCGCCGTTTGTTCCAAACGCGCCCAGCACAGCGGGAAACCCACGGCAAACTCTGCGTCCGAGGCGGAATTTGCTATGCTGGCCGAGGCGCTCTCCTCAAGGCGTAAGGCTGCGCGTCGGAACAAACGGCGCGGCGACACCATCACTTTCGGAGGTACGCGCGGCCTTCTTGGGTCGACGCTGGACCCCCCTCCTCTCGCGCGCGACGCGCAATAACACCTGCTCCGAGGGCACCGCCAAGGGGAAGAGGCCAGCGTCGCGTAGGAACATCCGCGCGGACCCCGCCGAAAGTTTAGGCCTGTGCTTCTGTTCTTGTTCGATCGGGCACGTGCCTCGCAGGGAAGGTGGGGAGTCACGCGGACCAGATAGATCGAGGCTCGAGGCGCGCGACGCCTGGGATCGACGCCTCGACCATGCTGAACGCTGCCGGCCACGAGAACAACGATCGGATCGCAAATGTCTCTGGGCACCGTCAATGCAAAAGCTGGTCAAGATCGGTCTCCGAATCCGGTCCTGGGAACCGGTCCTGGCACATTGCCCACCCCATCTGCGACGGCCCAGGGGTCAAAAACCGGCCTCCGCGGCCGAAGGCGATGAGCAGCCTTGTTCGGACAGCAACGCCCTGAGACATAGGCTGGACAGAGTGGGCCCCCAAACGTGTACATGTTGATCTGTTGTGCAATTGGTGTGGATCACCATGCGTGCTGGATCTAGCTGGTGGTGTATATATGTATATGGTGCCAAATCTGCATGGTGCAATCTATGTGGTGCGATCTGCGTTGTAGGATCTATGTTGTGCAACCTGTGTCGTGCGACCTATGTTGTGCTATCTATGTGATGCAATCCGCGTGGTGCAGTATATGCTGTGAGACCTGCGTTGTGCAATATATGCGTTGCAATCTAAGTGGTGCAATTGGCCCTGCCGAACTTAAAATTGTCAACTCCATTGCTTGCGCAATCATCCCACCCACCCACCCGCAACTTGACTTGCAAAACCCATGCGGCCGCGCTACCGTGCGCAGGTTCGCGCGCAGAGCTGCCAGCCAGTCTGGCGCGAACGACGCGGCCGCGGTGTTGCTGACCGGTGAGCACTTCCCAACGCGTGTCGCAACCCGCGCTGACGCGCGGGCACTTCAGTGCGAGTCGGTAGCTCGCTACGATGGCGACATCGGTAACAACGCACACGATGATGATAGAAGCAGTGCTGGTGACAGCGATGGCGGTGACGACGGCGAAAACAATAACGGCCCCGATGCTGATCACGCCGATGACGACGATGGTGTCCACTTGTCGGTGATGAACGTTTTGGAAGGATGTCAACATGCGCGCGCGGCCGACGCGCGCGAGTGACCCGCATTGTGTTTAATTGTAGGGATCGTGCACCATAGATGTGGAAGCATCGATGGTTGTCTTAAGAGCCCACCAGAACGCGCAAACCCGTTTTGAAACAACATGTACTTTCGCAACCCGCGCGAAACCTAATGCCTGTTGAATGATTTCGACGCGCGCCGGCGCGACAACGCGCGCATGCGCATTGCGTCAATTCGTTTGCAACGGACTCTGCCCGACGGATGGATTTGATTAAAGACAGCGTGCACGTGACGTCATTTGCACATGATGATGGGGGGTGTCAAGCCCAGCCTGGCTGGGATGGTTCGAGGTTGCATGTTGCATGATACCTGATGCACAATCATCAAATGTAAAGTGGATATTCCCAGGGTGGTTCGAAAATCGGGACAGGGGGGAGGGGTCAAATCCGACTTCTTCTTTTCTATAAGGAGAATATATGTGGCGTGATTGCCCCGGCCGAACTTGAAGTTACCAACTCCACTGATCGCGCACTTTTGCGACATGCCCAACCCGCAACTTCGTTTGCAAAACACATGCGGCGGCGATTGAGATTACTGCTAGGCGCTGGCTGGCGCATCGCTGCGGCCGCGCTAGCGCGCGAAAGCTCGCGCGCAGAGCGGCCAGCCAGTCTGGCGCGAACGACGCGGCCGCGGTGGCGCTGACACCTGGGGACACCCCAACGCGTCCCTCAAGCCGACCTGACGCGCAGGCACTTGCGTGCGAGTCGGTGGCTCGGGCGGGCTCGGTACCATGTCGATGTCGACAACGGCAGCCGCAATGATGATAGTAGCTACGCTGGCGACGACGAGGGCGATGACGACGGCACGGTCCATCCAATGACGGCGCCAATGCTGATCACGCCGATGGTGGTGATGGTGTCCACGCGTCGGCGATGGAGATGCTCCCACAGACATGATTGGAAAGTCAGGGTGGCAAACCACGTGCTTCATATGTGCTCGGGACACTCGATTCAGAAATCCTCCCGTAGCACCCCACACTTGCGGGTAAGAGCGAGGTGACGGACGCGGGGTGAGCCGTGTGCGTGCCCACATCCACATAGACTGACGCCAATTTGCCCGACATGTTATCGAACAGGTGCTGCATCTTCCTTTCCAAAGCATCGAGCTGCGGGCAAACGACACGCATGGTATGCTCCATCTCCTCGGGCTGAGCTTCGATGTGCTTCCACAAAGCGTCGAGCGTGGCAATGGCGCGGGAATTGCTCGACTGGACGGTCTCACAGACTGCGGAGCTGACCAGGCCCTCGAACTTGGAGCGGAGAGCGGTGGACTTAGTAGCGATGCCATGCGCAACAATCGCCATCTGGATGCTGATTGGGGGCATGGCGGCGTAGCGACGTAGGAAGCTGCCAGTCATGAGGAGACTCTCCAGCAGCACCTGAGTCATCATCAACAACAGCTGAAGCCAAATCATGCACTGAGTCCGTGGACGGCGATGCATTACGGGTCGCCGAAGTTGCAGAGCCTGTTGCCACACTCTGCTCCACCTTCGCCATCTTCAGTCTTGGGCCACTTCTTCTCAGGGGTCTCGCTGCGTCGAGCTGTTCGGCCAAGCGAACCAAGGACGCGGCATCGAGCAATCCCGTCGGCGAGAGGATCTGGTATCAGCATTGCAGAGCTGGGATCGGGGGAGGGCTCTCAGAGCTGGATGCGCGCTGAGAGGTTCGTGTGGAAGCATCCTTTGCTAGCCTCGGACTACAGGTATCCACTTAGTCCCTGAGAATACCAGGCATCCTGAGCCAAAATGGCCACGGAAGGGCAGGAGGAGGAGGAGAGCAAGAGGAGGAGGAGGAGGAGGAGGAGGAGGAGGAGGAGGAGGAGGTGAGAGCTAAGAGAAGGAGGAGGAGGAGGAGGAGGAGAGAAGGAGGGGGAGGTGGGGAGGGAGGTGGAGGAAGGAGGAGGAGGAGGAGGAGGAGGAGGATGAGGAGGAGAGGATGCTGGAAGCAAGAGGAAGGGAGGATGAGGAGGAGGACAAGGAGGAGGAGGAGGAGGAGGAGGAGGAGGATCAGCTCGAGGCTGGCTACGCAAACCTCGTCGCCGCCGGTTCTCTGCAAGCTCCGGGGGGGCCTTCCGTCGGCCGACGCCCTCGGCGGCGCGCCGGGGCTCCCGGGCGCGTTCCGCGCCGCCGGGCCCCCGCGGCCCTCGGCGCCCAGCAGCGCCTCCAGCGGGGGCAGCCCAGGCGCCTGAGGTTTTGATCGGGTCGGGCGAAAGGGGGGGATAGCAAAGGTCGGGGATGGACAGACCTCCCTTTAGTAAAACGTGGTTTAGTGAAAACGACCTCGGGCCCAAACCTGGCGGGCGCAAGACTGGAAAATAACGGCCGCGGCGCCCTCTCGAGAACCGAAAACGGACAATTCACTAATCGACGTGTCACTGTTGGGGGTTCTGTCCACCCCCGAAAAGGGGGGGTTTGAGAATCAGCTCACGTAGCTGATTTTCCGGGCGCCTCCCGGCGCCGGAGGCGGCTGTGTATCGAGGAATGGGCCCCCTCGGTGAGGCCGAAACCAGCTGCATGCAGCAAAGTTCGTAACCCCTCCTTTCCCAATCCCCCCCTTTCGTCCGGCCCGACCGTCCCGGCATTGCTATAGGCCAGCCACGGCAGGTTCTTAGAACCCAAAAGTGTTCGAATCACAAAACCAGGGTTCTCAGAGAACATACGCCCGATGTGGTAGAAGAAGACAGTCCCAGCCAGAGATGTTCTAAGAACATCTCGTGAAAACCACAAAAGGTTCTCAGAGCCAGGACGCTTTGCCACTGCTTGAAGGTTGGCGGCGCACACAAGGGTCAGGCCCCGTCGAAACCCGCACGTTCCTGTGCGGAATGGGCTATCGAGCCCCTGTTGGCGATCAATGGGCGATTGGGGGTCGATGCACTCTCCCCCTGGGCCTACCCCCCCACCTCCCGTCTCGTTACCCCTGACTTTCTTTCGGCTGTGCCAAGCCGCCTGTGAACATCTGTCACACAACGCCCGCCGGCGCCAACCGCGCGCGGCCTCGTCCATGAATATGGTGGCACGCGCAGGGGGGCAGGGTGTGGGGGGAGGGCTTCTTGGAAGGAGGCTGCTTCTTAGAGGGTGCTGGCTGGCCTTGCACCTACAGGCTAGGCCCGCGCCCTCTAAGAAGCAGGGGCGTTCCCACCAAGCCTTCCCCCCCACCCCTACCCACCTCTGCGCGTTGCTGATGCGGGCCGCCACCACAGGGCCGCCGCCGCCGCCTGCCGCCCGCCGACCGTCCGTGGTTCTGACTCACAATAAGGCGGCGGGCGGTATTCTTGTTTTTGCTTCTTGTGGTTCACATAAAAAGCAGCAAAAATAAAACCCAACCAAAAAACAGCCTCTTGGGGGCTCTTGCAGAGCCCCAATGGCCGTCGGAAAACGACTCAGGGCCCTGCCCCGCCGCCGCCGTCCGCCGTCTGCCGCTCGCTGGGGGACTCGGGCCGCCGCTCGCGTCATGGGTTCGGAAGTTCTCCGTCGCTGTCCCGGGTTCGTAGGGGGCCTTCGCCAGCGGCTGCGCCTTGCCGTGAGCGTCCCTGGGGTGCCCGGATCGTCCCGAACGGCCGCCGGAGACCTGAGATATGGCCCGGAAGCCTGCCCTCCTCTCGCGGCGGACAAACAAAAACACGACGGGAGATGTTGATATTACGTCTTCGGCATCTGGGGTCAGTGCCGTAAGAGAACGGTTCTCCGTGCTCAGTTGCCATCTGGTCAGCATGCAAGCACACTTGCCAGGGCGGGAAAGGCGGCAGCCTGGGATTAGTCTGACCCTGACCCCGCGCCATCATACCCCCCTAGACAGGAGAGTGGCTCTGGCGGGCTTCTGGAGGTCGACGCTGTGACAAAAACCACGGCGTCGGAATCCCGGTCCGCCGCTGCTGTCTGCAGTCCGCCGCTGCCGTCCCCAGATCTCCGGCGATATTTGTTTTGCAACGCGGGTGTGTTCCCTGATTTCGACCCTCAAGGGTTCGTTCTCGCCGCCCGCCGCCCGCCGACCGTTCGTGGTTCTGGTTCACAAGAAAGCGGCGGGCGGTATTATTGTTGGTGCTTCTTGTGGTTAACATAAAAGACAGCAAAAAAACAACACCCAACCAAAAAACAGCCTCTTGGGGGCTCTTGAAAGATTCGTTTTCGGGCCTCAGGCCCATCAGACATGGCTCTGAAACGGAAGAGAACCACCCCTGGGGCAGCGGTCGGGGTCCTGGGGCCGCGCACAATGACAAACATCACACTTTCGGCGGATGCATACAGTTGGGGCGTTGACCTAAGGAACGATAAATAAGGAACGAGGCCCTTTGTTCCACAAGTTACACTTCGCTTCCCCCTTGAAAACCGAAGGAAAGCCGAAGGCAAGCTGTAAAACAACCAGGGAACACGGAGCGCCTCCCAGACGAAGAGAGCTCCTTCCGCAGCGCCCCGACTGTTTGGGGCTGCCGTCCGCTGGAAAATTCAGGCCGCCGCTCGGCGCTCGCCGCTCGCTGCCGCCGCCGCCGCCGTCCGCCGGCGCTCGGCGCTCGCCGGCCGCACCGGCTCTGGCCAGGTTGGGGCGCCTCGCCGGTCAGGAAGGTGGGCTGCAGGAACAGCGAGGCGATGAGGGACGGCAGCGCGCCGCTGCGGTGGAGGCGGCGCTGCTCCTGGGCGCGGCCGCCTGCTGCGCCTCGAGCCCACCATATCCCTCATCCCTCGCCCCTCCCTCTTCCTCCCTCCTCGCTCTCGTCCACTCGTCCTCGGCCACCTTCCCCTCCAACCTCCCCCTCCGCCCTCCTCCTCCTCCTCCTCCTCCTCCTCCTCCGCCTCCTCCTCCGCCTCCTCCTCCCTCCTCCTTCTGAGTGCTCCACCTCCTCCTCCTCCCTCCTCCTCCTCCTCCTCCTCCTCCTCCTCCTCCCCAATTGGCCCTCTGCGCTCTTCTCCTCCTCCTCTCCTCTCCCCTCCTCCTCTCCTTCCCCTCCTTCCCCTCCTTCTTTCTCATCCGGCCGCCTGGTTGTCCTCCCTCGTCCTTCTCGCCTTCCCTCCTTCTCCTCCTCCACCTCCTCCTGCCTCCCACTCACTGCCCCTCCTCCTCCTCCTCCTCCTCCTCCTCCTCCTCCTCCGTCGGAAATTCCTCTTTGCCCCCCTCCCTGCACTCCTCGCCCCCTCAGCCGCTTGATCCCCCGCTCCTTTCCCCCGCTGGGATCCGTTGCCCACTCGAAGGGGATCGCTGGGCAGCGCACTCTCTGGAAGCAGCCCAAAGCTCCAGGTCCAGTTTTGTCGAGTGCGGAGCACTGCCAGGGCAAGGTCGTCTCCTCGTTTTGGCTGTCACCCCGTTGGAGCCCCGATTCGTCAAACGCATCAGAGGGTATAGCTGGCACATCAAATAAGGAATCGGCATGCCAGCAGGTGCCCCACGAAACCTTCTTATCCCCCGATGGCCCCAGTGACCCACAACAGCCTAGGGACCCATTCGGACCCTCAAAGATCGATGAATAATGTGTCCCTAAGATGTCTGATATAAAGATGTCTTTTCGATGTGTCCACTGCATAGGTTCAGGAGGGGGTTGCGGCTAACGAAGATGATCAAGAAGTGGAGCATCGCCAGGTGCTCCGCCATAAACACCCCCGCTTTCGGCAGCGAGACGGCGAACCCCCATTCAACAGACCCCACTCCCCTGAGGGTTAACGTGTTGGAGGCCCGCTCGCGCTCAAAGGATATACCCGAGACAATCCACCTGGTCCTCCCCCCCCTCCTCCTCCTCCTCCCCCTCCTCCTCCTACTCCTTCTCCTCCTCCTCCTCCTTCTCCCCTTCCTTCTTCTCCTCCTCCTCCTCCTCCTCTCCTCCTCCGTCCTCGCCACCTCCTCCTCCTCGCTCGCCCGCATCTCCTCCCCTGAGATTCCTTCCTCCTCCTCCTCCTCTTCCTCCTCCTCCTCCTCCCGTTCCTCCTCCTCCTCCTCCTCCTCATCCCTCCTCCTCCTTCGCCTTCTCTCCTTCGCGCCCATCTCTCCTCCCTCCTCCTCCGCCCTCACTCCTCCTCCTCCTTCCTCCTCCTCCTCCTCTCCTCCTCCTCCTCCTCCTCTCCTCCTCCTCCTCCTCCTCCTCCTCCTCTCCTCCCTACTCCTCCTCCTCCTCCGCCTTCGCCTCCGCCTCCTCCCTCCTCCTCCTAGAAACTTCAGGCTACTAAAGAATACGCTCGGGCACGCATTCATCTCGCTCCTGGGCAGCCCTGCCGCACGAATCCGCGCCCGTGCCACGGTCAGCGAACAAGAGATGAGAAGCACTAAGACATCATCCCCGATGGGGAGTGCAAATGAGATGGGACCGGCTCAGGGGGGAAACGTTGACCTGGAGTCGGCGAGATGCCGCCCGTGAACCGACGACAGGCCCCCGACATCGACACTGAACATCCATAGGAGGTGTGGGCTATCATGCCTCCCACCAGGGATGCGCAGGCGTTTGGGGGTCGATGCGTTTCCCCTGAGCTCGCCCCTCCCCCCCTCTTTGCCCTTGTGAAGGGGCCCTGGGACACACAAATAAATGCACACAAATAACAGGATTACCCATGTTTGACCATACTTTCTGGGCTTTTCTCTTCCCCCCCACATCCAATATTTTCCAATATTTTCCTGGGGATCGACGATTAATTGTGTCTGTGTGTTTTCTCCCCTATTGACCTTGGCTCGACCCCTCCTCCCTCCTCGTCCGCTCCCTCCTCTCCCGCCCCTCCGGCGACGACGGTGGCGGCAACGGTGGCGGCCGCGACGACGACGACGCGACGACGATGACAACGGAGACGACGGACCACGACGAATCTCAAGGACAACGACGACGAGGACGAGGACGATGGGCGACAAACCCCGACAATCCACGGACGACGACAATCAGCGACGGACAAAGGAGGACTGACGAACACGAAAGTTGACAGACCACCGACGACAAGAAATGCGGCAGCGACGACGGACGGCGGGTGACGGACGACTGGCGACGGCGACGACGGGCGACGACGGCACCGACCACCCCGACGGCTTCAGGAGCTCTCTAGTCCAAATTATCGATCCTCGACCCCCGATCCTCAATCAATGAGGGCGACGACGACGGAAGGCGGCGGCGAACGACGACGACGACGACGTCGTCGACGACGGTGGACGTTCGACGACGACGGCGGCATGCCGATGACGGCGACGACGACAACGAACTGCAGGCAACGACGAACGACGGCGACAACTACGAACGGCGGCGAGCGACGACGGACGAGCGACGAGCAACGAACGCCCGACGGCGGCGACCTTCCGACGGCGACATCTGACGACGGGCGGCTGCGACGGCGGCGACGTCGGACGACCAACGGGGGGCGAACGCACGGCCGACGCCGACCCGCGTCGGCGAGCGGCGTCCTGGGCGTCTCCACCCTCCAGGTGCTGGAACAGCACGCGGAGCCCCTGCCACAGCGCCCGGTCCTCGGGGGAACAGCAGCGTCCACCGCTCGCCGCCGCTCGCCGCGGGCCACTCGCCGCCCGCCCCTCGCCGCCGTCGCCGCCGCCGGCGTCGTTCTCGAGGTCTCTTGGGGCGATTCTCGATCGATCGATCCTCGATCGATCGGCGCTCGAGCCTCGACCGATCGCGGCGGCGGCGGCTTCGACGTGTCCCACCTCGGCCGCGGTGGGCTGCGCACCGTATGGCGGCGGCGGGGGCGATCCCCGCAGGATTCCCACTTGGCACTCGGCCGAGGTGGGCTTCCCAGAGCCCGAGAATCCCTCGGCCCTCGATCGATGGATTCCTCGACCCTCGATCGGTCGATCGCGGCAGCGGCAACGACGACTCCCTCGGGTCCCAGGTGGGCTTCGCGGAGGCCGAAGGGCACCGAACTTCGACCCCATCGGCACTCGGTCGATCGATCGCTCGATCCATCGACCTTCGATCGATCGATCGCGGCGGCGGCAACGACTCGCAGGCGCCGGCAAACACGTCCGCATCCCGCATCCACGGCTTCGCGGGCCGGGCCCATGGCCATCCACGGGATCGCGCCCCCGGGATCCGGACCGCGAGGGCGTGGATCTGCATAGGCCTGCCGCCCGTGATCACAAGCCGCGCTTGACCTCCATTCCCCCCTCCTCCTCCTCCTCCTCCTCCTCCTCCTCGCCTCCTCCTCCTCCTCCTCCTCCTCCTCCTCCTCCTCCTCCTCCTCCTCCTCCTCCTCCTCACGCGTGGTGACGTCTGCAAATTTTTGGGTCGTACGTAGCCCGGCTCTCCCGTGGCCGCTCGGGACGATCCGCCGACCCCCGGAACGATCCCTCGGCGAGGCGCCGCCGCTGGAGCGCACACCGAGGTTGGAAAAAGTGCCCAGAGCCGACGAAAACGCCCAGAAACCTCGAACTTCCGACCCGACACTCCCAAAGAGGAGGAGGAGGAAGAGGAGGAGGAGGAGGAGGAGTAGGAGGAGAATGAGGAGGAGGAGAAGGAGGACGAGGAGGAGGAGGAGGAGGAGGAGGAGTAGGAGGAGGAGGAGGAGGAGGAGGAGGAGGAGGAGGAGGTGGAGTATTTAGGCTTCCGCGGCCGCAGCCTCCCTACGCCGCAGTCCGCCGCAGCAACCGAAGCAGCCGCTGCTGAGAAGCAAGACAAGGGGGAAGGAGAAGGCGATAGGAGGCGCCGGCCGCACTCGATGCGGCAAGCCACCTGGGAAACTTATTGAACCTGGGCCACCAAGAGGGGCCCACCCTGCCACCCCCGGAATATCGCCTCGACGATGCGGACCGAGCATGCCGAAGCATCCTCGAAGAGAGTCGCCGAAAGCGCATGGGTCCCAAGATGGGCCACCCCCCCTGGAATAGAAGCCCCCTGACGATGCTGACAGAGCATATCGAAGCCGGACCCCTCGAAAGACGTAGGACTGTATACCATGATACACATAGAACGGCCCAAGACCAGAAGCCACAAAATATGAAAAGTCTCACGACGAAATTAAGGTGCCGAATGCCGGGCCTGCTTGCTTGCAATAGACCTCACACGCCCGTTCGTACAACGCCGTAACCAATTTGCCCAAGTTCTGATGTCCGTAGTGACCCATCTGACCAGAACACACATTCGCCAACCTGCGCAGGAAATGCTTGCCGACACAACCACAGCGCAGACAGGCATGGATCTGCAGGTCCTTGAAATAGCCCAAGAGGCGGGACTCATGAATCGGAACTCCTTGTACATGAACTCCAACATCGCCTACTCTCTGAATGTGGCCCTTGAGAACACCCCCCAAACAGGGCGTCTCCAGGAACCTTTCCAACTTGCGACCACTCGCGCTGCAACCACAAGCCGAACAATGAAATGATGTGCCCATGCCAGTGAAGACCTGGTGCTCGGACAACTTGACACGACGACTGAACTTTTTCGCCATGGACCTCGTCGGACGGACTCGTTTGGGCTCCGCCTCCGTCGCTGCCAGGAAAGCCTTGGCCAGGTGTTTGCGGACAGCACGACCGATTGCTTCCGCATGCTCAAGAGACGCTGCCACTGAACTATGAACAGCCACCACATTTGCCCAGTAACCAGCCGCTTCATCCGCTAAGGCGTTAGCAAGGTAGTGTTCGATCTGCGTCCCAGCCTGGATGGCCACCTCGACAGACATGTGGCTCTCGATCTTGACGACACTGAGCATAGATGGGTACTGCGCAACCACGTCCTTGACCTGCAGCCAAAGGTCCAGGTTCGTAGTCGGAAGCCGCCCTTGCGAGAGTTTGCGGAGCCCATTGACCACGTACCCCGAGTCCGTGACGAAGGTGATAGGGACCCCTAGGTCGAGCAGATCTTCTGCGGCCCTGAGCAAAGCCGTCGTCTCACCTCGGTTGATGGTCTGCTTCTTGGGGATGCCACCGCCTCGGGAGAATAAAAGCTGGACGTCTAGGTCGGTGTCGGAGGTCACCTTGATGACTTGATATGACCAACCAATGCGCCGCAACCTAGCATCTGCAGAATGGAGCCCTCCTGAAGCATCACCGCCAACCAAGAGATGATCGAGATCCCTGAGATCATCCTTATGGCCGATGACCTCATCATACGGGTTGTCTGTCGGCTCGTCCACCTTGGTCCAAGGAGCAGGCAGTATGCCCCTCAACCACAAGCAGGGAAGGTTCTCGTAGTCCTGGAGGGCCCTGCTACGCAAGTTTGAAGAGACCGACGAGAACACCTCATTGCAAGAACACGACCAACTACGATGCAAATCGGTCTCTTCCAATCCACACTTGCAACGCTGACAATCGGTGGTGTCCAAATTGCTGCTGCTCAGGGTCGAGATCCTGCTGCGCGTCCACGAGGCTCCCGTCATGACAGTCTCGATAGCGCCTGCCATCTCAAACTCGCCCTTCTTCTTCAAAGATGTGAGGTGACGTCGAGCTTCACAGACGTCAGCTCCTTCTTCAAGGCCTTTGCCATCCCAATGCCTCGAAGCCTTGTCCCAAAGCATACGGTCGATCGTATCAGAGATGGCATCTTTGAGGGCACTCATATCTTGGGGACCTTGACCGATGATGCGGTCTGGGGCCATAAATCTTTCTCCAAGATCGGAAATCCATGCCCACGGCCCCACAGGATCCCAACCAATGTCTAAAAGCGTGGCTATAGTTGCAGACACCACTCCAGTGATGCCTCTCCATCTGTCCTTCAAATCCCTGCTGTCAATCCGTCTACGTGCCGCCCTCCAGGTACGACGTGCCAACTCTAGGTCGAAGCCTGGTTTGAAAATAATGGACATCCAAGATTCCACCAGCCTGTGCACGATCTGATACTGAGGGTCCTTGCGGCCGACACGTAGTTGTAAAAGAGTTGTGAGGCAACGACCTGGCCACTTCTTTGCCAGGGTCTGTCCCAGAGCTTTCCTCCAGCCGTTGATGACCGACGGAGCCGCTCCAAAGACTTTGTCCGAGTAGTCCGCCATCGGAAGAACACCCATCATGGCCAACTTTGCGCCGATCTTCTTGCGGACCGCACCTTGAGCAAACCGCTTGACACGAGTGAAACGCTGCTGAGCACCTCTTCGCCGCTGAGCCTGCTTCGGACGCCGAAAGCCAACCGTACCTCGATCGATGCCCAAATCGGTGGCGACACTCTCGATCTTGACCTCGAAGCCCTCCTTGGCGAATCCTCGTTTCAACTCCTTGCCTAGCCCAGCATTGTTGGTAACTATCGTCGACTTTGCCGATATCACCAAACCTGCCTCAGAGCAACCTTTTGCAAAAGTCAAACCAGCTTGCAAGGCTAGTCCGAGAACTCTTTTGTATCTGCCTTCCACTCTTTGAGAAACGTCATCCACCCAGGACCTGACCGTAACACCAGGAGATCCCTGCGCCACTCTGTCCAAGATGTTGTACAGATCACAACGAGAGAAATCCACTGCGCCGCCAAGTCCAGCTATCATGCTCTGCTCGGGTATGATGGCATCAGAATAATAACCACTGTCACGGAGGAAACGCACTCCCATGTGTAAAATCATCTCCAATGCCAAGATGCACGGTGGAAAATCGTGCTCCATACCAGTCTTCAGTAAGAGCTGCCACTTGAGAGCGTCGTAAAACCCCTCAATGTCCCACAGCACGCTGGCCTGCACCCAATCTTTAATCGTGGTGAGCGCGACAGTCTCGTCCAGGTAACTGCGAGCTAAGGCCTCGCGCAAGGCTGAGGAACCTGCCACTGCTGCATCCCAGTGCCCAGCCTTTGCCTTTGTCCAGCTGGCACGGTACTCGCCTCGACAACTTGACCAAAGCCTCGCCAAGGTCGATAATATGCCAATGGCCCTGTCGTCACCGCTCGGCTTGCGTAGAAGAGTGACCAGAACCACCGTAAGTTGCCAAGGCCATGCCACTGACTGTTCAATAAGCTGAAAAAGTTGGACCAGCTCCTGCTTACCTTGCTCGGGCAACCAGATGAGGTCCCTCTTCCCCAACTGCTCAATGCCCTTCGCCGACGTGCCCTTCATCCTTCGGATGCCGTCTTCGAGCGTCTCCAAGTCGAAGAGAGGGAAAGCGTCTTCACGAGCGCGAGCCCTAGCACGTCCCAAGAGTATGGTAACCTGGCCGATGTCGAGCTGCTGGTCACTCCACTTCTTCTTCCACACCTTAGCCCGAATGTCCATCGCCGTGAGGGGGTCCGACGATATTACCTGGCCTTCCTCGAACTCATCCTTCGAGGTGGCCTTGTCCTTGATAAGTCGAAACAGCTTCCCAGGTGCGGCAACATACTGCTCCTCCGCCCATTGGGAGAAGGCCAGATACTGAGAATAACATTCCA